CGGGCGTAGTGGTGCATGCATGCCTGTAAACCCAGCTACTTGGGAGGCTGAGGCAGAATGCTTGAACCCATTAGGCAGAGGTTACAGTGAGTCAAGACTGCACCACCACACTCTGGCCTGGGCAACAGTGCAATTCTCTGTCTTAAAAAAAAAAAAAAAAAAAAAAATAGCCCAGGCAATACATAGTGAGACTGTGTCTCTATTAAAATATATATTTTTTGAGATATATATATTTTTGAGATGTCGCCCAGGCTAGAGTGCTCATTGCAACCTCCACCTTCTGGGTTCAAGCGATTCTCCTGCCTCAGCCTCCTGAGTAGTTGGGACTATAGGCATGCACCACCACACCCAGCTAAATTTTTATATTTTTAGTAGAGACAGACAGGGTTTCACCATATTGGCTGGGCTAGTCTCCAACTCCTGACCTCGTGATCTGCCTGCCTTGGCCTCCCAAAGTGCTGGGATTACAGGCGTGAGCCACCCCTGCCCAGCCTAAAATATTTTTTTAAATGTATTTAAAAAAAAAGAAGAAAGAAAAAGAGCCAGGAGTGGTGGCTCACGCTTGTAATCCTGGCAGTTGAGCTCAGGAATTTTAGACCAGCCTGGGCAACATGGTGAGACCCTGTCTCTGCCAAAAATACAAAAAAAGAGCTGGGCATGGTGTTGAGTGCCTGTGGTCCCAGCTACTTGGGAGGCTGAGGTGGGAGGATCACTTGAGCCGGGGAGGCAGAGGTTGTAGCGAGTTGAGATTGTGCAACTGCACTCCAGCCTGGGCAACAGAGTGAGACCCTATCTCAAAAACAAACTAATATGTAGTCATTATAAAAACATAATCATAAAATATAGAAAAATATAAATTAAAAAATCACATCAATTATAATTCCAGTGAAAAAGGAGGGGTGAAAAAAAAGAAAAAAAAATTGTAATTCCAGGCCTGGTGCGGTGGCTCATGCCTGGAGGGAGGAAACCTTGAGGCCAGGGGCTTGAGGCCAGCCTGGGCAACACAGTAAGACCCCATCCCCGTCACCATCTCTACAAAAAAGAAAATACTTAGCTGGACATGGTGGTGGGTGCCTGTAGTCCCAGGTACTCTGGAGGTTGAGGTGGGAGGATCTTGAGTCCAGGAGGTCAAGGTTGCAGTGAACTATGATCCCCCCACTGCACTGACTCTAGCCTGGGCGACAGTACAAGATGTTGTCTCAAAACGAGACAAAACGCAAAACACATAAATCCATCTCCCCGAGGTGAGCACTGTTCTTTATCTGGGGCCTCTTCATAAACTCCATATGGTTCCTGAAGCTCAAGTTTCTATGCTTGATCACCAAGCCCCACCTCCAGCTCCCACTTCCTCCCTCAGAATTTCCGGCGGTGTTCTGGATGGCTCTCCAGGGTACCCGGAGTTCACGTGGCCGAAACCAAGCCTATCGCCGATTTTCCCATCTCAGATCCCATCTTCACCAATACCAGGAATGGATTCTAGCCCACAGCAGACCCAAGCACTGAAATGTTGACGGCGCTCAGTTCACATGTGTAAAGTGAGATGCTGTTCTGAAATATCAAATTGTTTTCTTTTGCTTTTTTTTTTTTTTTAAGACGGAATTTCACTTTGTTGCCCAGGATGGAGTGCAGTGGCACCATCTTGGCTCACTGCAACCTCTGCTTCCCGGGTTCAAGCGATACTCCTGCCTCAGCCTCCCAAGTAGCTGGGATTACAGGCATGCATCACCACGCCCAGCTAATTTTTGTATTTTTAGTAGAGACAGGGTTTTACCATGTTGCCCAGACTCGTCTCAAACTCCCAGCCACGAGGTATCCTCTCTCCTCAGCCTCCCAAAGTGCTCAGATTACAGGTGTGAGCCACCATGCCTAGCCCTGTAAATCGCTTCTAAATAGTCACTCCGATTCAGTCATTACAGACTGGATCAGGATAGTCACTTCTTCACCGTTCTTATCTGATACATTCTGTCTCAAATCCTCACATTTTGGGTACACGATTTTGAACTTCTAGTCTTCACTCTGCTGTTCTGTCTAGAATGTTTGTTCCTCCTTTCTTTTATTTTATTTTTTTTTTTGAGACAGAGTCTCGTTCTGTCACCCAGGCTGGAGTGCAGTGGCGAGATCTCAGCTCACTGCAAGCTCCGCCTCCTGGGTTCACACCATTCTCCTGCCTCAGCCTCCGGAGTAGTGGGGATTACAGGTGCCCGCCACCACGCCTGGCTAATGTTTTGTATTTTTAGTAGAGACGGGGTTTCGCCATGTTCGCCAGGATGGTCTCCATCTCCTGACCTCGTGATCCACCCGCCTCGGCCTCCCAAAGTGCTGGGATCCAGGCATGAGCCACCGTGCCCGGCCTCCTCCCTCCTTTCTCTGTCTAGAGAACTCTTTTCTTTTTGCAATTAACTCATATGCCATGTGCTCTGGGAAGGCTTCTCCTATAGTTCTTGGGAGAAAAGCCTACTGAAGGAAAAGGAGCTCTCTTTTCTGGTAGGTGATCAGAGGAAACCTCAGAGGTAGCTTTTGACCTAGACCTCCTAGTGGGGATTAGGATATCCTTGAGGTGAGAAGAAAAGGAGATACAGGTCTGGCATTAGGAGGCTGCATTTAGGGACACCTCGCAGTCTAGCCCCGTTGAAGGACAGGCTGGGAAGGTACAGAGTGGGGCCAGTGAAGTTCTTTAAACTAAGGGAGACAGTTTAACAGGGAGAGAACTTAATGAGTGTGTTTTTGGTTGTACTGGAAAGCCCAACAGATTCTGGAAGTGAGTGTTGTCTGGAGAAGCAACTGAAATGCTCCCCTCCTCAAGGCACAGTTAATGCTATTTTCCTATTCTGCACTTTGTATTGAACTGTGATTATTATTATTTTTGAGACGGAGTTTCCCTCTTGTTGGTCAGGCTGGAGCGCAATGGCACAATCTCGGCTCACCGCAACCTCCGCCTCCCGGGTTCAAGCGATTCTCCTGCCTCAGCCTCCCGAGTAGCTGGGATTACAGGCATGCGCCACCATGCCCGGCTAATTTTGTATTTTTAGTAGAGACGGGGTTTCTCCATGTTGGTCAGGCTGGTCTCGAACTCCCGACCTCACGTGATCTGCCCGCCTCGGCCTCCCAAATGCTGGGATTGTAAAGGCTTGAGCCACTGCGCCCGGCCAGACGTGCTTTTTTTTTTTTGATTCAGTCTCACTCTACCGCCCAGACTGGAGTGCAGTGTCACAATCTCCGCTCACTGCAAGCTCCGCCTCCCGGGTTCAGCCATTCTCTTGCCTCAGCCTCCTGAGTAGCTGGGACTACAGGCGCCCACCACCACGACCGGCTAATTTTTTGTATTTTTAGTGGAGACGGGGTTTCATCGTGTTAGCCAGGATGGTCTCAATCTCCTGATCTTGTGATCCGCCCGCCTCGGCCTCCCAAAGTGCTGGGATTAGGCGTGAGCCACCGTGCCCAGCCAGGATGTATCTTTAATAGGTACATCTGGGCTGGGCGCGGTGGCTCATGCCTGTAATCCCAGCACTTTGGGAGGCCGAGGCGAGAGAACTGCTTGAGGCCCAGTGTTCCAGACCAGTCTGGGCAACAAAGTGAGACCCTGTCTCTACAAAAAAATAAAAAATAAAAGGTAGATCCAATTCATTCAAATAGCATTCACTAGCACCTACAATGTTCCGAGTTGGGTGCCGAGTATCATGGGAGTAGAAAAATAAGACACAAGAGATTGCCGGAAAAAAACAAAAGGCCAGAATCACAGTTCTGGACGGGCGCGGTGGCTCACGACTGTAATCCCAACACTCTGGGAGGCCAAGGCCAGTGGATCACCTGAGATGAGTTCGAGAACAGCCTGACCAACATGGTGAAACCCCGACTTTACTAAATACAAAAAATTAGCCGGGTGTTGTGGCGCGCGCCTGTAGTCCCAGCTATTCGGGAGGCCGAGGCAAGGGAATAGCTTCAACCCAGAAGGGAGAGGTTGCAGTCAGCTGAGATTGCACCATTGCACTTCAGCCTGGGTAACAAGAGTGAAACTTCGTCTCAAAAAAAAAAAAAAAAATCATCTTGGGAGGCCCAGTCGGTCGGATCACCTGAGGTCGGGAGTTTGAGACCAGCCTGACCAACATGGAGAAGCCCAGTCTCTACTAAAAATACAAAATTGTCCGGGTGCGGTGCCGCACGCTGGTAATCCCAGCTACTGGGGAGGCTGAGGCAGGAGAATCTCTTGAACCCGGGAAGCAGAGGTTGCGGTGAGCCGAGATCGCGCCATTGCGCTTCAGCCTGGGCGACAGAGCGAGACTCCGTCTCAAAAAATCCAAAAAACTAGGTACGTCTTTTAATCTATTTCTCCAAAGAGGCTTCTACATTCTACTTTCCAGCAAGCCCCTAGAAACAAGCAGTATACTTCTACCCAGATCTCAACCACACTCTCGCCCAGAAGTTAACTTTGGGGTGAGCAAAGCTGGCGCCCAAGTTGTCCTTCCGCAGAACCTTTGCCAGGGGAAGCTCCCGGGGCCACTTCCCGCCAACCCCTCCCTGCAGTCCAGCCCCACCCGCGCATCCTCGGGCGTGGCCGAGCGCGGCGCCTTTAAGAAGGGGGCGGAGCCCAAAAGGAAAGACAAAGCCCCTGGCCGCGCGCTCCCCCTCCCCCTCCGGCGCACCACACGGACAGTGGTGCCCGGATGTCGGTGTCGCCGTCGGTGACAGATGGCGCAGTATCTGTATATGCGAGGGGCTTCTCCGGCGTGACCTCTTTGAGTTCTCAGCCTCTCCGTCCCCCGCTGTCTCCGACTTTTAACTCCGCTGTCGGAGGCCCGCATGCCTATCACGGGCGTTTACATAACGTGACCTTTCACCTCTTCAGACTGCCCTCTAGTGCGCTGCAACCCAACTACGCGACAGGGGCAGGGGGGCGGGACCCAGACGCGGAGCGGCAGCTCCTCCGAGCCAATGGGCTGTGAGCGCTGACCAGCTCTCCGCCTATTGGAGCATTCGCCACCGGCGCCACGGGGGAGCAAGTTAGTGTGTGCGTTGGCCGGGCTGGGGGGAGGAGGGGAATCTCCCGCCATTTTTCAATAATTTCCTCCGGTGCCGCTGAGGAGGAGTCGTGACTGCCGGCCGCCGGGACCGGAGGTGGAGGTCGGCGGGGAGCTGCTGGGAGGCGCGGCGGTGTGCGCGGGAGCTCTTCGCCGTGGCGTTCCGCTCCATGGCTGTCGCGCGGCCGCGCCGGCGGTGAGGGAGCCGGAGTTCGCGCCGCCCTCTCACCCCTCCCCTCCCCCACCCCACCCCCGGGCGCCTGGCGCTCGCTCCGGGCCGCGGGGCCTAGTGCTGCGCCGCGGGGCCGGCCCCAGCTGCTGCCAGTCCCTACCGCCGCCGTCGCGATGGCGCCGCTCCTGGGCCGCAAACCCTTCCCGCTGGTGAAGCCGCTGCCCGGAGAGGAGCCGCTCTTCACCATCCCGCACACTCAGGAGGCCTTCCGCACCCGGGAGTATCCTTTTCCAGCCGCGCGGGCCGGGCCGGGCCGGGGTAGGGCCTGGGACTCGCGGGAGCCGGCCAGCCGCGCATCCCCCGCGCGGGGCAGCTGTCAGCGCGCCCCGGCCGCTCGCGGGCCTGGACGCCGAGTCTCAGCCTGCGCCTGCCGATCCTTCCCGGGGATCCGGCGGGGGGCGCGCATCGGCCCTGGACGGGGGAGGGCCCCCCTTCGGCCGCCCCCGGGGCCCCGCACTTTGTCCCGGGGCTTCGCCGGCGAGGAGCGCATCCCCCCATCCCCATTACCGCCCCCGGGTTGGCTTTAGGCCTTGAGGACCCGGGAGTGGGGAGGGGGAGCTAGGTTTCCTCCTTTTCTTTTTACAATTTTTTTTTTTTTTTATTTTAAATGAAACCTGCAGCTTAAGTTTTGGAATTGTACTTGCGCGGCCTCGTGATGCGGCGTGTGCAAGTCTCAACTGCGTCTTTCCCCGATCTCTGCGGGGATACTTGGCGTTTTTTTCTTCTCCCGAGGGGACTTTAGGCCGGGGATGAACTGACAGGACCCTGGGGCAGAAAACTGGGAGTGAGATTCCCCACTTAGAGGAAAGGGAGGGAAGAAAACTGCCTCTGGAGGAGCTGATGCCTGCCTTCCCTGGGCAGACACAGGTTTGAAATTTTGAAGGTTTAGAAGGAGATTGGTATTTGTTAAAAGTTTAAAAAAAAGCAAAAACGTGAAGTTTTTATGTTGTATTTTCGGAACATGAAATTGGATGTTTTACAAAGGAAGCATCCTCTCATCATGACTAAGATTTCTTGCATAAGCATTATCTTTTGGTGAAAAGTTATGCAGCTTTTATTTGCTTTTTTTATGGGTGCCAGAAGAATCGTTTTTGAGACTTACCTGTAAAAAAGAAAACGATTCCGGAATCAAGCATTTCTTTGGTGACTGAAAGCTTTAAGAGTTAAGGCTAATGTGTTAGGAGTTTTCTCAGCCCTATCTGTTCGGAAGGACTTGATTTCTCAGTTTCTTGCTTGCTTCTGTATAGAAGGAAGTGTCTCTGAGAGTTATTTCATTTCTCCCTGATCCTCACTTTAACGCAGTACTTTAGAGGATAATCTCATTCTTGTTGGAGTGCAATTTGTGAGTGTCCCTTTGTGGGGAGTATGCACACAAAGGGACCTGGAAAATGAGTCCATGCTGGAAGAAGGCTCTTGGAGAAATCGAGCTGTAGCATCTTGGAGCTGAAGTGGATCTTGGATCTTGGAGGTGGTCGGGTCCTCGGGCTTGGTTTGCCGAGTTGGCCGAGAGAGTGGAGGTTGACTTGTTGAAGGTCAAACGATAAAAGAGGAGTAGAATCCACCGCTCTTCCTACCTCAACCCTGTAAGTCAATCAGCAGAAGAAGGTGGAATGTTAGTCCTTCACTTTAAATTGATTTAAATATTACCTCACTTTTTTGTCGTTGTGGTATAAGGTAAAGCACATTAAAGTGGGTGGAGGGGTGGTAATCTGGTTTTTTCCTGTACTGTGAAGACTTGGAATGCTTTGGAGAAGTTCCTCTAGCTCTACCAAATGCTGCATTATTCTAAAGGTACCCCACTTTTTTTTTTTTTGATAGGGTGTCTTACTCTTTTGCCCAGGCAGGAGTGCTGTGGCACCATCTGGGCTCACTGCAATCTCCGCCTCCCGGGGTCAAGCGATTCTCCTGCCTCAGCCTCCTGAATAGCTGGGATTACAGGCGACCGCCACCACGCCTGGCTAATTTTTTGTATTTTTAGTGGAGACGGGGTTTTACCATGTTGGCCAGGCTGGTCTCAAACTCCTGACCTCAGGTGATCCACCCGCCTCGGCCTCCCAAAGTGCTGGGATTGCAGGTGTGAGCCACCGCGCCCAGCCGGTACCCTACTTTTTAATACATTTGAAACGTCAGTGGAGTAGCAGCTTGTCAGAATCCAAGAATCCAACATCCCCTTTTCAAACGTCGTTAATATTTTGAGCCGTTGATGGATGCTCACACACTATCAGATGATAATTTCTCAGGTCTGGTTCTAGTGGAGTATAAGAAACATGCCATGGAGAAGAGACAAGTTCTAAGTATATTTCAGGTACTGAGCTTTGTAAAAAATGGCTGTAGGGAGTTAATTTAGGACTGGCAACGCAACGCAGGCTTTTTCATACTATTGAATGAATGAAATTGAAATTATATATGAAGAGTTTTGATGGTAACAATTGAAAACTGAAACCGGAAACATTTTAAGTGGTACGTATTTAATAAACATTCTTCATTTTTTAATTTCCCATAACAGCATTTAGAACTGTTTTAACAAAAGAAGTCTTAAAGCATATTATATATTGGAGGGGGGGAATTGCTCTTTTGGGAATTTCTGCAAGTGGAAGGACTTTGAGGATGGTTTTTGAACAATTGTACTGTATGGTTGGCAGATTGGCATATTTCTTTATTAGGCTATTAGTGGTTTCATAGAGGAGAACAAATATGTGGTTGGGTAATAGCTGCCTTTGAAGTAGTATTCCCAGTTCTCAATTTATATTTATAGTTATGTTTTTAATGGGACTTGATATTTTAATTTTCTTTTAATACCATACCTACTTTTTGATTGCATGTATCACAGAAATTTGTGTGATATTTTACTGACTTAAAGCTGTGTGTTGGTATGTTCTTGGAGTGTATTGTAAATCTTCATTAAACTTAGTGGAAGTTGTGAGTAATGCACACATTTAATGACTAGGTGTTATATATTGGTGATTATGTTGATTGTATTGTAGCTTTGTATGGTACATTCATAGGTTAGTCTCACAGGCAGGACACTAGATCTTGGAAAACATTAACTTTATCAGAATCAGTTCTTGATGTGACACTGTATTTAAGTCAAGATAGGTTTTAGGCAGGAATTGGAGCTACAAGCAGCCTGTTGTAGATGAGTATTTTTGTTGTGTTGCTTCAACTGTCATAGTTTCTAAAGCTTAGAATCAACTAGTTCACGACCTTTGTAGCATCATTATATGAGAATTTATTGAGGGTATGATGATGAGGGGCTTATTCATACTGTTAATCTGGCTCTATGCAAGTGTGACTAGAGCATGTTTTTGTTTTGTTTTAAGAGATGGAATCGCTATTTTGCCCAGGTTGCAGTGCAACAGTTGTTCACAGACGAGATGGTAGCACAGGGAAGCCTTGAAGTGGACTCGAGATCCTCCTGCCTCAGCCTCCAGAGTAGCTGGGACTACAGGCATACACTACTGCACCTGCCTTAGAGCAGCATGTATTAAGAGTTGAGTAGCTGTAGATGGAGTTATGTTGTGGTTGTAAGAGTTTTACTGGACATTTGGAATACTGAGCTCTTATGTTGATTTTTATACGTTCTTTAAAACATTATGCCATGTTAGACTTGTTTTTAACTTAAAGACAGCCTGGTCCAAAGAGAGAAAATCAGGTAAAAAGCAAATCTTGAGTTGGCTCACTATTTGCCATCTTCTGACTTAGAATTCTTAGGTTACAGTTAATGCTTTTTTAACTCTGTACTTTCCTGGGCCACTTCCTTTCAGGATATCAAGTACTTCATTGAAAGAAACAATCCCTGCAAGATTGAAGAGAACAAAGCAGGAGCATATTGTGATAAGGAGGTAGCTGATGGCAAAGTAGATGCATAATGAGATAATCTAGGATTCGAAAATATCTTATCTTTTATAGCTTACACAACCTTTGGAGAATTGCTTTGACATTTTGTCTGCAATTATATGTGCAGCAGTTGCTGGAACATAAAAACCTCAATTGGCATTTGCTCTGAGAGATTGTTTGAGAATGAGTGACTTATTTTGGTAACCTAAAATCTGAAATAGGATTTAGAGACAGCTGACTCAATATCCTACTAATGGGCCTTTTTGCATTTTCATTTTCATTTTTTTTTCTTGCTCTCCCTTTTTTATTTATTTATTGAGACAGGGTCTTACTCTATTGCCCAGGCTGGAGTGCAGTGATGTGTGATCATGGCTTCCTGTAGCCTCCAACTCCCCAGGCTCAAGTGATTCGTCCCACTCAGCCTGCTGAGTAGCTATAACCATAGGTGCGCATCACCACGCTTGTCTAATTTTTGTACGTTTCATAGAGACGGGGTCTTGCAAAGTTGCCCAGGCTAGTCTTGGATTTCTGGCCTCAAGTGATCCTCCCGCCTCAGCCTCCCAAAGTGCTGGGATTACAGGCGTGAGCCACCATGCCCGGCCTTGTTTTCTCTTAATATAAGTTAAAGTAATTACCAGAAGAGTTACACAAACTTAAAATAGCCATTGTTAGGGGTTGTAGGAGTTTCCGTTTCAGATTTTTTCTTTTTTTGAGACAGTCTCATTCTGTCGCCCAGACTGGAGTGCAATGGTGTGATCTTGACTCACTGCAACCTCCGCCGCCCAGCTTCAAGCGATTCTCCTACCTCAGCCTCCCAAGTAGCTAGGATAACTGGCGCCTGCCACCATGCCTGGCTGATTTTTGTATTTTTAGTAGAAACGGGGTTTCACCATGTTGGCTAGGCTGGTCTCGAATTCCTGACCTCAGTGATCCACCCGCTTTGGCCTCCCAAAGTGCTGGGATTACAGACGTGAGCCACTGTGCCCGGCCCCAGATTTTTATAATTAATTTGACCAGTCAATTAATTTTGAGTTAATACTGTCAGAGGACATTTTCTGAGATGTATACCTTGGGTTTCAGTGCTGGCCAACAAAAATATAAGCCATATGTAATTTAAAATTTTGTAGTACTCTCATATTAAAGAAAGAAAAAAATGGTGGGAAAAAATTAAAACAGCTGGATGTGGTGGTGTGCGCCTGTAGTCCCAGCTACTCAGGAGGCCAAAGCTGGAGAATTCGTTAAACCCAGAAACTTGAGACCAGCCAAGGCAACATAGTGAGACCACCATCTCCAAAAACATAAATAAATAATAAAAAGGAAAACCACATTTTTCTGTTTTAGAGTGGAGTCTCGCTCTGTATCCCAGGCTGGAGTACAGTGGTG